TTGAACGTTTTTTTTTGTCCCGTGCCGACGCCCCCGTCGGGCCCTCTCGTCCGCGTCTCTAGAGTGAGCTTTGAAGTTAATGACACAGACCCTTACAATGTTTCCTCTCTGACTCGACCCTATCGCGTCCTCGTCCTGGAGGATTGGGCCCGCGACCCGGGCGACGGCGCCGCCGCGCGGCGGCGCTCCATGAAGGCCGTCAACCCCAACTTTGTGCCGCGCAACTGGGTGCTCGACGAGGTCATCCGGCGCGTCGAGAAGGGCGGCGAGCGCGACGTGCTGCGGCGCGCCATGCACATGGCGCTGCACCCGTTTGAGGACGCCTGGCACGGCGAGACGGTCGACGGCAGGGTCCACGAGGGCGACGCCGAGGAGGAGGCGCGGTGGGTTGGCGATGTGCCCAAGCTGGAGAGGGCCATGCAGTGCAGCTGCAGCTCGTAGTGCGTAGCATCGCCTCAAGATGACGGGCCTGTAATACACGACTATGTCCTACAATCAACGCACATAATAGTCGTCATCCATTCGTCGAGATTTGCCATGAAGCACATCGTGAGCACATCGTGAGCACATCGTAAGCACATTGTAAGCACAGCGTAAGCACATCGTAGCACATCGTAGCACATCGTAGCACATCGTAGCACACTTCCACGGCCAGAATAGGTGTAAAGCTTGAACGACTCCAACATGGGCGTATTTACTTCTTCCGCTCTTCCTCGGCCCTGCTTCGCCGCCACAACCACGCCCTCGCACCTCTTATATGTACAAGCAACGCGACGACCAACCCGGACAAAGGAGCTTTTCGTTCTTCTGAAACCCCTCTTCCCTCTGTCCCTCCCTTCAAGGTGCCTTAATTGGTACATTCGCTCCCGACACTCCTTACGCTCCGTACGCAACCTGGCCCATCGGCCTGTCCTCCTCCATGCCAGGCGCCATAAAGTTGGTCCTCGGGTCGCCGGTGGCCTTGGAAGCCGAAACACGGGCCATCGTTGGTGAGCTGTTGGTCGTGTTAGCAGGGACTTGATCAAGGTAGAAAACACGGATTCCGACTTACCTCCTCGAGATGACGTCTGTGAAGTAAAAGTTGTCGATGACCTTCTTGAGAGGGGCACCGGTGGGCTTGGAGCCCTTGTTCTGGTCCACCAGCTGCACCTTGCTGAGCTGCTGCAGGGAGACGGGCTCCACGACATCATAGGCGGCCAGCGCAGGGCTGATCTCGGCCATGCGGTCACGGACCTGGGACACGTCGTCGTACGTCAGGGGGACGCCGAGGAACTCAGAGGCGGCACGGAGGATCTTCCAGTCTGTCCTGGAGGCACCGGGGAGCGACGTGGCGGCACGCGTCATCTGAACACGGCCCTCGGTGTTGATGTAGGTACCGGCCTTCTCGGTGTAGGCGGCGCCGGGCAGAACGATGTCGGCAATCTCGGCACCGCGGTCACCGTGGTGGCCCTGGTACACGACAAAGGCATCCTTGGGAATGTCGGCAGCGTCGAACTCATCGGCACCCAGGAGCCAGACGAACTTGGGCTTGGTCGCCGCAACCTCGGCCGAGGGGGTGACGAACCCAACCTCGAAGGCACCAGCCCTCGAGGCGGCACGCTGCAGGACGTTGTAGCCGTTCCACTCGGGCGTGATGAAGTTGGCGGCGTTCTTGTCAACAAAGGTGCCGACCGTCTCGTAGAAGGCCTTGGCGTCAGCGTGGTCGGTGACGCCAGAGCCGACGATGATCATGGGGTTCTTGGCAGCCTGGAGCTTCTTGCCGAAGGGGCCGGCGAGAGCCTTCTTCAGGGCGGCGTGGTCGGTTCCCAGGTGCTCAAACTCGAAAGTCGAGTCCCACGTCTCGCCAACAACACCAATCTCGAGATCGGAGCGCAGCCACTGCTTCCTGATGCGGGCGTTCAGGACAGCAGCCTCGTGCCTGGGGTTGCTACCGACAATGAGGATGGCGTCAGCCACCTCGATACCGGCGATTTGCGAGTTGAAGAGGTAGTTGGAGCGAACGTCAACACCGTGGGAGATGGGCTGGCTGCCGGAAGGCATGTCGAGGGCGAGGTTGTCGGAGCCGAGCTTGTTGGCCAGATCCTTCATGACGACGAGGGACTCGACCTCGGTCAGCTCACCAGCAATGGCCTTGAACTCGTTGGCCTTGGGCTGGAGGGTCTGGTAGGCGCGGCCAATCTCGGTGAGGGCCTGCTCCCAGTCGGCGGGCTCGAACTTGCCGTTGCGGCGGACGAGGGGCATGGTGAGTCGCTGGGTCTTGAGGCCGTCGCAGGCGAATCGGGTCTTGTCGTTGATCCACTCCTCGTTGACGTCGTCGTTGAGCCTAGGCAAGATACGCATGACCTCCAGTCCCCTAGAGTCGACGCGAATGTTGGAGCCGAGGGCATCGAGAACGTCGATGGACTCGGAGTGCTTCAGCTCCCACGGCCTCGCGCGGAAAGCGTAAGGCTTGGAAGTCAGGGCACCAACGGGGCACAGGTCGATCACGTTGCCGGACAGTTCGGTGTTCAGGCTCTGCTCGAGGTAAGTGCCAATCTGCAGGTCGTTGCCACGGCCGGTCGAGCCAAGCTCGGGAGCACCGGCAATGTCGTTGGCGAATCGGACGCAACGCGTGCAGTGAATGCACCTGTTCATGGACGTCTTGATGAGAGGGCCAATGTTCTTGTCCTCGACAGCACGCTTGCCGCCAATCTCGTGGAAGCGGCCCCTGTCGCCACCGTATCGCATAGACTGGTCCTGGAGACCACACTCGCCGCCCTGGTCGCAGACGGGGCAGTCGAGGGGGTGGTTGGCCAGAAGGAACTCCATGACACCCTCGCGAGCCTTGTGGGTGAGAGGCGAGTTGGTCTTGACGACCATGCCAGGCTGGACGGGCCAGGCACACGACGCAACGGGCTTCGGGGCCTTCTCGACTTCGACCAAGCACATACGGCAGTTTCCGGCAATCATGAGCTTCCTGTGTGTATTTGTCAGATTTCGATTCGAGGGGAATTTCGGACGGGGTTCGGTAGGCAGCGGGATCGATCGTACTCATGGTAACAGTATCTACGCAAACGTGTCAGCAAGGCTTCGCATGAGGTGATGGCAAGGGAGGAGCATGTTGGGGACACATACCTAGGAATGGTCACACCAGCCTTTTCGCAGGCTTGGATGAGAGCAGAACCAGCTATCCCTCTTGGTCAGCAAAAGACGACTCGCCCGGCAGGCCATCAATGTTTTATTCACCTTCTATCGAAACCTTCTTGCCATCTAGTTACGGGTCAGCTACTTTGTCAAGGCCAATTGGATGGTCGGGATGGCGTTTTCATACCAATTGTGAGCTCGACTTCGGCATTTCGCTGGGTGGTGGAGGCAAAGGTGCGCGAGGCATTGGCGGCCTGCCGGCCAGTCCGCCAAGCCGAACGAGCCAGAGTATGCCGGAGCATCGTGTCGCCCTGACGGAGTAGAGGTGTAGATGGCGAACGGGAGGGGTGTTCGGCGGGAAGGGTGGGAGGCAAGTTGGTGGTGTACAGGTCGTCAGGTCGTTGACGTCTCGAGGAATCCGGATGCTCTCCGGGTCAGTTTGGTGGCGCTAGCGTCGCGATTAATTTACATCAATGCTGATTGGCCCACCGGCTCTGTGAACACACGGCTGCCTGAGGCCATCACGAGGAGCTCCACCCGCCGCCCATATCACTGCAAAATTTCCGTGCGCCGCGACAGCGCTTCCTCTTTTCCTCTCTTCTTCCTTAGAATTGTTTGGACTCATTTTATCGTAGGAAAGCTTGCCCACGCTGTTCTGCAGCGTGTCACTCGAGCCTTCCTCTATCTTGTGTCCTAGACGAATGCAACACGCCGATTATGGAAGCATGGGAGAATACCTCAATGACCGCTGCCTCTTACCGCCGGTCGTTACATACCAAGTGAAGCTGTGACGGAATGAATTGAAGCCACCATGACGATGTCTGCAGTTGTGATCAAAGCCAATCCTGGCGTTGATATGCCATAAAGCAGGTACCTGAGAAAGTGCCTGCGTCACTGCCAATCGCTGAGGCAGTCTGATTCTGGCCCAGCCCTACAATATTGTGGAGGTATCTCTCGGGGTGCGATCAAATTAACCGCTCGGCTGGGTGCTCCTGAAGGATCCCGCGAGTTGGAGCTTGTCTGGCTATCATCTGCGTCCATGGTTGTTCGGATGCATCAAGCACGCTGTTTCCTCATGAGAGCTGATCCAGTGAAGTCGCTCGCCATAGCCATCAGCCTTCAGCTACAACTAGGACAGTACCCTCAGTACCTATGGCGCCTACTCCCTCTGGCAGCAGCGAGTCATACAAACTATGAATTGTGGTTAAAACTCCAGAATAGACATGACAACTCGGTTGGCACGGAGAGTCTCCTGGGTCATGTGTTGTGCTCTTAGAATAAGCCTAGAACACCAAACCTGTAGCAATCGCCAGCACCATTCTGCATTTGTCCTACTCGCCCAGTCAACCGGCAGAAAGCTCGTCTTCAGTGTACACAACTGATATACTGGTCTCGCATGGCGTAGATGCGATGTAAATGAGACATTTTGAAAGCAGTTATCATTACTCATGTGTCACTTCGCTTTCTCGTCTAAAGATTGACTCGGGAGAATCAACGTCATTCACTTGCATTAACTTCCATACTTCAACTTGTGCTAACCATACACATGCTTTCATCCAGGCGCCTCATAGAAACGAGCAATCCGGTATCGTGCCTAGCACCTGAGCCACGACAACCTCTTTCACCTGCAAGATTGCATACGTTTTGTCAATTAAGCATCGTTCTCGGGAAGACACAGACCTCAATGATAGATGATCCTCCACTGCGATGGTGCAGGGTTATGCCACTCACATCGGTCTTGGATGGCAACATTTAGGGCCCCGAATCAGCTCAACTCTCCATATTTCCCAGACTTCGAATCTCTTGGCTCTGAGACCGCCTCTCGAATCCAGCATTTTGGCTCCGGAAAAATGTCAAGAAACGGGACCCATTACTCGAACGGTTGATTGAAACCTCGCACTCCGCATAGGTAGTTGCGGGCTTCTTAGCCCAATTGAGGCCCATTGCTCGCCGTCTAGTTGCCGATAGCCGGTTCCCGCTTTGCCCACGACCAATCGAGCACCACCTCCCAGGCACTCACCTTCCTGAAGTGACAAGTTTGCCGCTAGTTCAGCACGTGGGTTTGGGATTGAAGGTTCAGTGATAAATTGTGGTTGGAATGTGAGCCGACCTGCCGGTGCGAGGCGTTAGCACGAGGCGATATCTACAACTGTGAATCGTGGGCAACGACAATCCGGCAGAAGCTGGGCCTAGCGCCACGCGCAATCAGCGTCTATATCGGCGGAGGCCGACGTCGACAGCCCCGGAGCACGATGCTTATAAGATACATCGCGCCTGCATGCACTCCAGTGACTGCAGAACGTCAGTCCGAGAGCGCAGTATATTGCTCCACATCGGTTCTCACTCCTCCTCAACATGCACTCCGGAAAGTCCATCTTCAGCGCCAGCCTGGCCGTGAGCGGCGCTTTGGCTGCGAACTCACTGCTCTGCCCTTCAGACGTCCCTCAGAGCTGCCACAACACGACAGCTTTTGCGAACGCGTGCTGTTTCAGTGCTCCGGGAGGCCAGATTCTGCAAACACAATTCTGGGACAGCAACCCCGCCACAGGCCCGGATGATTCGTGGACCATCCATGGCCTCTGGTATGTCATCCGTAGGATCAACGCCGACACGTCTCTGACTTGCACAGGCCGGAAAACTGTGATGGCACGTACGAGCAGTTCTGCGCTCCCGAGCGGGAGTACACCAACATCACAGCCATCTTGGCCGCCGCGTCTCCGTGCTCACTGAAGTACATGGACACGTTCTGGAAGGACCAAAACGGCAACGACGAAAGCTTTTGGGAGCATGAGTTCAACAAGCACGGCACGTGCATGAACACGTTGGAGCCGACCTGCTACCCAGGCTACACGCCTGGCCAGGAGGTGGTCGACTACGTCAAGAAGACCATTCAGGTGTTCAAGACGCTCCCATCTTACGAGTGGCTGAAGAAAGCTGGCATCGTCCCGTCCGAGACCGTGACTTATACCCTGGACCAGATCCAAACCGTCCTCACCGCCCACCATGGCCACAACGTCATTGTCAACTGCAACAAGAACAAGGAGCTCAATGAGCTCTGGTACCACTTCAACGTCAAGGGGTCCATCCAAACGGGCGTTTTCGTACCCGTAGACCCCGTCGGCTCGCCTTCGTCTTGCCCGAAGGAGGGAATCAAGTATCTGCCCAAGAAGAAGGCTGGAGCAACAACCCCAGCTGCCACAACTACAGCCGCCTCCACCTTGAGCACCGTCCTCACATCCGCAGCCGACTCTACTTCTACGGCAAACCCACCCTCCATCTCTGGAAAGGGCCACCTTTTCGCAGCCTCGTCTGGCGTGTCGAGTCCCGGCTTCCTCGTCTCCGGCGGCACCTGGTACCGCGGCGGCGGCACCCCGGCTACCTTCACGGCCACACCTGCTGCGGGGGGTTCATTCACTCTCACCTCCAGCAAGGGGAACTGCGCTGTCCAAGAGAACGGGTCGCTGCTATGCGCGTCGTCTGTCGTCGCTGGGTCCTCGTTCGTCTTACGACGGTGCGTTCTTGACGTACGCCGGCTCATCTGCGTTTTACGCTGCCGAGGTCCCGGCTGGAAACACGCAGAGCACCGTCTTCACGAAGGCGAATGCTGTCACTGTGCAATTCACGTGGACCGCGGCGTAGTTGGATCACGGGACATGACTTGTGACCATCGTGTAGGACTTTGAGTAGTCGTTGTGCAGCTTTCGAAAAGATGTTTGACATGGGAGCTTGCGGGAGGCAAAAAGGGGCTGGATCGCTCGGTGACCATCACAGTACATGTCATAAGTAAATAAATGCATCAGAGTTCTAAACAAGTTAGAGAAGCCTCAAGAAACGCCGTTGATAGGCAATTGTATTTGATTCCCAATATATGGGGTATGCGGCGCTTGGCATACAAGCGACCTAGAATACAGTGCCATCGCTCTTGATGAGGATAGGGCTGGACTTGGTTTGCGGCCGGCGCTGCGCCGCGACCTCACGCCCAGACTTCCAGGTACCAGCCTCCAGCAATTGAGCCATGCTCAGCTGCACGCCCTCGCCCATGCGAGACGGAAGCCTGCCATAGAGCAGATCGATCAGCACGAGTGTCATGGCTCTCCACTCGACGATGACGTCGTCTCCCGCTTCGAACAGCGGTAGTTCCTCGCCCGACGCCGCCAGACCTCGCTCAAGAGTCTCCTTTTTCAGGACGAGCACGCCCATGTCTACGAATAAACCGCCGTTGCGGTATTCCGGCAGGGCGGTCAGGCAGTCTGCGTTGGTCCACTCCAGGCCCAAGACCCTCTGGAATGGGACCATGAGAGAGTAGGTGAGCCACTGTGTGAGCTTGTGAAAGGGTTGGATGTTTTCGGCAGCCGCATCGGAAGCGTCTGGTGCCCCTCCTGTTCGCAGAGTGCTCAAGGGCCAGGCATCCCCAATGGGCGTGCCGCCGATTGTCGTCCGATCTTTCGGCCAAGCAGGAATGAGCAGCGTCTGCAGTACATCCCATAGGAAAAGAATGTCAAGCTTGGATTCGTCTGAGGCCTCGATCAGATAGTCTATGGAACTCGTTAGCCATGAAGCGTTTTTCGTAGACAGTAAAAGGGCGAATGTTTACCAACTAGCAGACCTGGTCGGCCTGATTCTCCGAACACGTCGGGATGGGCGAGCAATGACTGTCCAAGGCTCCTGAGGAGGGCGGCACGTGAGTCGACGCCCAGCATAGGGTTGTCGCTGGTTACCTGGAAACCCTCTGCGAGCGCACTCGTCTCCAATTGTTGCAAGCCCTTGCCTGACAAGCAATGTTAGTTCAGTGTCAACAAGGCAGCACATGGTGAGTGTGGTGGTGGGGTTACCGTCGACTATCGGAGCAGATGCATCCTTCGATACAGTGAAAGCCAACGAGTTGAACATGTGCAGGCTGGCTACCGCGATACCCTCGCTTCGCTCGTAGACCTCGCCCGTCTCGGCCTCTTTGTACCGCCAATGGTCACCTGCGCCAGCATCGAGAAGGACGGAGACGAAGAAGAGGTCAATGAGGCGGCGGGTCAGCTCCTTTTCATCGCTGCCCTCGTTCTTCCACTTCTCGATGAGGTTGGCGATCCGTGGTACATCACCGACCTCGAAATGCTGCCAACGGCCGTGAGGCGGGATCGTGTGGAACCTATCGGGACCAAAGTCGCGCTGGCATCCATTTGTCAGATTGCACAAGATGTATTCAGAGGATCTTGGAAGCCAACCTTGATGACAGAGGCCACAAAGTCGACGACATCATCCAGCTTGTCTTCTCGAAGATCAAAGTGACTTAATTTTCCGGCCTTGGCAACATCTCCCACAATCTTGGCACGCTCGCGGACTGCGCGGAGAGAAAGTAGGTATTTGATGTCTGAACTCATGTTGAAGGAAATAATGGGATGAGTTCACGCCGTCTGGTCACGTTGGCAGTGACGATGTATTAGTAGAGAGCGTAGGGGGACCCCGCACTTGGTTGTCGAGATAAGGGGGGCAGTTCCCCGGGCAGGTCGGGCAACTCCGAAAACCTCCATAGATAGCTCCCTGTAGCGGTGTCTCAGGCGCTGGTGGACACCGCCAGCGTTCACGGGGAGCTGGTGATGCCCAACAACGACCTAACCCAACGTAACCCAGATGTGACACCAAGTCTCACCAAGAGAGAATGACAGAGGAACCAGCCGACTTGTCTAATTGATGTCTGTTTCCCAGGCACGCCCAAGCTCGCCCAACACAGTGAAATCTCTTGTGATGCAATCCTCCCAAGCATTTTCTGCTGTCAAGCCTTTCTCCGGGACACGAACATGCCGGCAGCAGAAACTGTACGATCGCGTCGTGAAAACGACTTCTAAGCGCTCTCGCTACGTCGTCGAGCTTCTTCCTGTACTGTCCGCGTTCTCAATGCCCTTTCTCTTTCTTCCTCAGCCTCAAGCTGTTTCTTGTACACCTCCCTTACTTTGGCCATCATGCTGTCGAATCCATCGAGGTTGCTCATAGCACCCTCGGCCGTCGTCAGCAGCTGGTACACTGTCTGCTCTCTTGCCGTTCGAGGCCACTGGCAAAGAGTCACGGGAGGCAGCGGGCGGTGCACGCCATAATCCCGCGTGGGATCCTTGGGCGCCATGACGTTCTGCATCATCATGTCGACCAGATTCTTGTCCAGCGGCGGCGGGGTCTGGGCGCCGTGCGCTGCCTCGTGGATTCGTGCGGCCTGCAGGACGCGTTGCTGCTCGCGGCGGAAGAGGAACACGATGTTGGCCTTGACATCCTCTGCGTGACTGTCGATGCGCTGGATGACGAGTCGGAGGCGGTCGGCTTCGGTCGTGGGATTGCTGACAGAACTTTTGAGGATTGACTCCTTGAGTGGAACGAAGATCGCTGGTGATATGCTGTCGAGGGGCGGGATGAGGTCTTCGTCAATTGACGCTGTGGCGCCTCCACCATTGCGCGAGCTGTCTGAGCGACGTGGCGAGAGAGGGCCCTCGTCGTGGCCGTGAGCGTTGTGTGAGGACATGAGCGGAGGAGCCGACAGAGGACTGCCCCAAAATGCAAGGAAGGCGGAGGGAGGTAAACGGTTGTGCCTTGATGGTGATATGTGCGATGACCGTCTGCCTCAAGTCCAACAGAATTCGACAGCAGCGGAGTAATTCTCCAAGGACAGCATCCTCAGGCGCATAGCTTGAGGACGACAGGATTGGAAAATACGACCAGAAGGCCCTCAAAGACCAACCATGGCCTTGCGTCGTTCGAAGACTTGATGTGATACTACCCTTCTGGAGGTGGAAGTGAGCGAGGAGGTTGTTGGAGATGTGTCAAAGGTCAGGACGGAATAAAAAAGTGGAAACAGGCGTGTCGCATTGGGGAGGAGTGCTTCTGAAGACACCTACAACGCGTCTCACAGATACCAGAACCAAACGCAGAGACCATCATTACAATATAATAATCATGCTCGCGACAGAAACCCTCCTGATGAACTCTTATCTATTCACCAGTCTAACGCACTCAGCCAGTACATGGAATGCGTAGACATGTGACTGTGGTAGTGTTACAACGGATCAAGTCCAACGAAGCACACCCCTCCGAGAATGACAACCCCGCGACTGGTACATGTTCCCCGTCCAATATATCCTAACTTAACAGAAAAGTCGCATGTGTGTGCAATGACCTCTCTTCTGGCACGAGCGAGGGCCCACGCTATTGTTAACAAATCCTTAGTATGCAACGCCTTTGGGACTGGTGCATGCCTGTGCTTGTTTCTCGTGCAAGTCTGCCTCCAGTGACCGGATTGTCAAGCTTGGTGCAAGACGACTTGGGACAACGATGGCTGGCAGCGGCCATACGCAGTCAGACCGGAGACACTATTGTCAAGCTCGAACCTTCCATCCGATGCTCTCTCATCCTTTGCTGGCATACCAGGGGGTAGGTCTGGAGCTCGAGCTAGCCGGACCATGTTCGACTGGCAGAGGTGTGCCAGGCTCGGAAGCTGGCATGTTGTCTGTATATCGTTTGTACCCGCGGCACAGGCTGAGTGATTCTGGGCAAGTCGGTCGGCTCACGCCTTCGAGGCGCGTCTGTTTCATGGTTGGCATGAACCTTGGTAGGTCTACGCCGTATAGTATCTCGGGTGGCGTCGCGTGCCGCTGTCCGCGCTCAGGCGTAACCAAGCAGACGGAGGGAAGCGGGATTCCCAACCACCCCGCAGCGTGGACGTTGAAGATGATCCGTAAGGGCACCTGTGAAGAGGAACCAAGGACGTCACCTTGATGGGAGGACGTTCCGCACGTACTCCCGGGCCAGTTTGAGACCAGCACGTACGAGGTCCTCAAGCCGCCGGTCCTTTCGCTTCCGCATCCACAGAAGAATAAAGGCCAGGAGGACAATGTCGATAGCAAGATGCTTCATGATCATCCAGACCAACCATCCCAGCCAGGCGGGGAAGCTTCGCTCCTTCTTGAACCTCCACTCTCTTCCTGTTGTGATCTGCTCGCGTAGAGCCGCTACCTCGGCTGACATCTTGACCAGCGCATTCTCAACGCTCCGGGACCATTTCGAGCCCCTCTTCGGTGCATCATCTTCTTCCTCGCCGTCTTCCTCTGCAATTGCTTGCCGTCGTGACTCCCGTTCCGCGGCATCGTCTTCGCTCATTGGGCTCAGCACTCTAAGCGGCCCCTCGGTTCCACTGGTAGGCTGGGTGAATCGACGGCCGACAAATTGGTCAGACCCTTTCGACGACGAGGCGCTAGGGCTATTGTTCTTGATCTGATTCCACACGAATTCGAGTTCGGCGACGAGTTCTTTTGCGTCTCTGATCAAGGGTTGTTAGCCGTGACCTCGGGCCGAGGGGACGGAGAGAAGGAGGAGCAGGTATGGCTTACGGTGTCGTGGCGTAGCGATGCATCGTCTCAACCAGAGCCTCGATGTACCGCCTCTTTGCCTCCGTCTTGCCCAGGCCGCTCTGTGCGTTCCACGCATCCCACTTGTCCTTCTCCCGCTGGAGCTCGTCGCCGGACAGCCCCGCGCCAGCAGCGGGGCGCTCCATGACGCCATCGACGTCGCCCTCCATGGCTTGCTTGTAGAGACCGTAGAGTCGAAGTCTGTCGGAGGGTGGTGGTCGGGAGGCACCGGTCTTTGGTATCTTCTTGACAGTGTTCAAGGCGTGGACGAACACGCGATCTGCTCGATCTTGTCAGCCTAGCTCTTGG